TATTTCAGCAGTGGAGTCTCAGGTGAGAATAAGCAGCCCAACAATGGAGGAGTCTTCACAGAGAGCAAGAAATTGTATTTGTATTTATTTCGCGTATACATGGTGGGAACGAAGAGGAATTATAGGCCGGGTAAGGAAAAGACGATTTTATCCCTCGAATTAACATCCACTTAACCAGCACTTGACGGAAGGACTTTAATTGGAAAAAATTTAATAGTCGGATGGTTAAATTGTCCAAATTAAAAGACGGGAACTAAATGTGGAAAATCAGCATACTCGAGGGACCATTGCTGGAATTAACTCTATTGTAAATTGCAATGTTTTTATTTTCAGTGGTTTGGAAGAAATTGTTGCTTCAAACTATTGAATAACTAAAATACTTTGTTTAGCATTTTGATCTTTGGGTTACATCATATTTACCAATTGTCCAATACCTTTGGGTTACATTATAATTAAAATTTTTAAAATTTTTACTACATCTAAATTCCTTAAATTAGGAATTTCTTTATCCATAATAATTTATTCAACAATAATGGTTGAACTAAATGAACACTGAGCAAAACACAAAGGACTGGTACCGTTGATTCATTCATTGATCTTGTATATATGTGCATTCATTAAATATATTAGAACCCTTTGCAACAAAAATACTTGGTTACTATTTAAAAAAAGTTTAGTAACAATTATAATGAATCTCCTATATTACATTGTATTCATATATTATGAATTGCATATTTAAATAAACAAATTAGAGATTAAAGGGAAAATTGTAAGAAATGTCCCTCTATAATATGCTAATTATAAATGTCATCCCAGAATTATGAGTGGTGTAAATGTTGCCCCTCAATTATCAAAATAGTGCACATATAGCCCCTCTCGTAACGGACCTGTGGTTCCCCACCGTTGTCCATTGCTGGTACTTCGAATCGAGGGAGGGAAAAAACAACTAAATTACATATTTACTCCAACTTAACGGTGTCGTATACTAACGGGAAACCACATGTCTATTACGGGAGGGGCTATATGTGCACCGTTTTGATAATTGAGGGGCAACATTTACACCACTCATAATTCAGGGATGACATTGATAATTAGCAAATTATAGAGGGGCATTTTTTACAATTTTCCCGACAATAAATTACTTATGTTGAACTTCTCCTATATAATCTTGCATTTATATAATTCCAAATATTTATTTAATTATAAACATTGGGTAGAAAAAATGACCGTCAAATTATTAAATCAAATGAATAGTTCATATTGTTCAGATTTTAATTTTTCCTTGAGATTTCTTAATTTATCATTAATTATATGATTATTCGATCTGTTAACTTTTCCATTAAGTATAAAGTACCTTAATTCACCATTAGTCTAATTCGAATATTAAAGTCTAATATAGAATTATAACAACAACATTAATCTAATTCTAATATTAAAGTCTTAATAGAACTCTAACCACCGGAATCTCCTCAAACAATATTAGTATATATTTAATATTTTATGCTTTAATTTTTATTTGCTCTCCCGTATGTCCCGTATTTGGTTTCAACCATACCCATACAATTATTTTATTGACAATTATAATCAATCTTATGTATATTATCTTGCATTTAATTTGCAAATTCAACATTCAATTATCTAGGCAACAATTCTAATATAATCTTGTCTTGATATACTTTAAAATACTTATTTAAGATAAACATTAGCCATTATCCTAATCGCGCAATACGCGCAAAAAACTAGTATATTAATATAAATTAAAAATTTCACCTCCTATTAAAATAAGTGATGTATTAATGCATCTTGCATGTGACAGAATGTGATAATTTTAGAAAAATGTGAATAATTTTATAATTTAGGTCAATTTGATGATAAACTAAAACTATTTGGTTGTTAGGGTGCGATAGTGGATGCCTTAGTACGATCCAATCTTGAGAGTTGAAATTATTAAAATATTTTTTAATCAAATGGAGTATTATTATATGCCAAGTTTGATGGGTTGTAACCTACGGCACCAATTGTTATGTTATGACTTGAAAGAGTTAATTCAATAAGAGTTCCTTTGTTTTTTTGTGGTAATTTTAAATTTAATATCGAACTATTGTTTTTGTCATTTAATACCTTTATACATTATTTTTGGATACTTTTAATTCTTCACATGATTTTTTTTAATTTTAGTAAAGACATTTTTATCTTTTTATATTTTCTTTTATTATTTTTCCGGTTTCAACCGGTTTAATTGATTTAGGACTTTAGGTAACTTCTAATTTTTTGTAACCATATTTTAACCTGTTTTAGTAAATTCCTAAACCATTTAAACCGGTTGAAACCGGAAAAATAACAAAAGAAAAATATGAAGAGACAAAAATGTCCTTACTAAAAACATGAAAAGTCATGAGAATGACTAAAAGTATCCAAATATAATAGTTTGCGATGTTAAATGCAAAAACAATAGTCTAGCACTAAATTTAAAATTGTCACAAAAAAAAAAAAAAAAAAGGGACCTCTGGTGGAATTAACTCTGACTTAAAATATTTTTAGATTGACATGCATATATCTCACTTGTTGAGAAAATTTCTTCAAATTAGTAAAAATTACAATGAAACAGTACACTCGATCACAATCTTTAAACTTGTGATATTGCTTATTCGAATACAAACTTTCGAGTACAAAAATTAAAAAAAAAAAAAAAAAAACAAACAAACAAAAAAAACAAAACAAAACTAAAAACAAAACAAAACAAAAAAAAAAAACAAAACAAAAAAACAAAAAACAAAAAAAACAAAAACAAAAAAAGTCAAATGGTATAGGTTGTGTTTCAATATTTTTTTTTAAATCCCTTTTTCAACCATACATATAAATAAAAAAATAAATATGAATCTAAATTTCAATAATTGTTTTGGAATTGACATTGGTGATCATATTAAGACAAATATGGAGTTGTTAGGGTATCACATTTGCAAATTAGAAATATTCTAAGAAGTAAGAATATATAATTCTATATATACATTATAAGTTTTAAATATATTTTTATACAAAAATTATGTATCTTTATTCATATCTTAAAAATTAAAATTAAATAGTCAAATGTTAGGTATTGGATATTATATTCATTCGACTGGAAGACGTTGACAAAACTGTTAATTAATGTAATACGGTTCGTTTGGTTACTTTGTGATGATCAGTGGTAGAGCTAAAAATTTTCATTTGGAGGGGCCAAAGGCCAAAAACAATGTATTGTAATGACAATGTCTATTCTATCGGCAAATACTTTGCGACAAGTAAAGTGATTATCTAATTTTTTTCATCACAAATTTGTCATTATATTATTTTAGATTGTGAGGAATTTTTCATGATTTACCTACGTAAAACATAACCATTTTCATATTTTCTTGTAGTGATATAATTATAAACATATTATTATTGGTACAATAATAAATAAGAAAAAAAACTAGACAATTAACAAAAACTGATGATAAAATATTTTTACAAACTACCGGAGTATAAAAATGCTACATTTATTTCTGTACTTCATTTATCCCATTTTATACATTATATGCTGATAAAATTTATATATTTTAGATTATATTAACAACTCTATTAAACACAAATAGCAACAATTACAAATTATAAGAAATTGATTAAGAAAATATGTAAAGAAAGAAGTGTTCAATTGACCAACAAATACTAAATAGGATATATATATATAAAATAAGAAATAAAGAGTAACTATAATTAGTGACACTTATCAATAATTTAGGGGGGCTTGGTTCAAAATTTGGAATTGAAATGGTAATTGAAATTAAATATTTAGTAATGGTAATTGATTTAAGCAAAAGAAGTCTCTTTGTTGGATACCTCGGAGGCTTAAGATATGGGCTCGGACTCTCGAAGGGCCCATGTCGTGAACCATGCACCGAGGCGGCGAAGGCAATACCCTAGCGGCTCAATAAATGAGCTTGGACCCCCAAGGATCCGGGGCCACGATCCAAGCCTTAGGGCGATGAAGGCAATACTCCGAAGACCCAAGAAATAGGCTTGGATCCCTCAAGGGGCCTAGGCCTCGACGGGCGTATTATTTTTTTCAAAGGCATGAAGAACTCGGACACCATCATGGAGTCTGGGGCCCTTGGTGACTCCAACGTGTGGCCACAAGGCGAAGTAAGCAATCCGAGCAAGGGCCCCGGTAGGAGAAGCAAGAAATTTGTCCCGATCCCCCTAATGGTCTAGATTGTGATCGGGGCAGATCATTTCTCTAAACACACGAGAGATGGATGCCCAACAAGTGGTGTTTGCTCTACGTGGTGCTTCTAGTTTTGGTTTGTTGGGGTCATTAGTTGATGATGTAATGAAATTGCAATTACGTTTGGTAGTTTGAATTTCTATTTTACATTATATATACGTATTACAATATATATTTACATTAGAGTTACACTTTAATTTGTAAGTATCAAAATTTCAGTTATAAGTATTATTTCATACAATATTTATCATTAGTAAAAATTATTTTTACCGTAAATAATATTACAATTTTACATATAAATATCACAATATTTATTATAAGTAACAGGTTATTTATTTCAAATTGATATTAAATTTTCTATAATAAGTATTATAATTTCTATCCTAAGTAACAAACAATTATCCTAGACTGAACCCATTTCACGGATCTTGATTTGTGGGACGGACACACACAACTGTGACTCTAGTAAAAAATATTAGAGTTGAGATTCCAATAAATTTTAGTCCTGCTTTCACACTCCCTATTTATATAATAATTGGTTAAAAAGTAAAAATAAAAAAAAAATTTATAATAATAAAATGAATTCTTCTAGTACCAATGTTTATAAATTATTGTTCCCAATGTTTATAAATTATCGCATCATGAAGTATTGAAAATGGAATAAAACAGTAATGAAAGCTAAGCCCTGGTATGACTATAAATTTCCTACATAATGGCACAATAGTACTCGTTGTCAACTACATAGAGAGAGAGAGAAATGGCTTGTGTTTCTCTAACTTCTCTGATGAATACAATCCAGTTTGAGTTCATACAATCCAGCCCGCCCGTGATTCTTGATGAAGATACAGCACATATGATGAATTCTCTGTACCAGAATCTTGGTTTCTTGCTCGCCTTTCTGGAGGAATTCGAGAAGAAACCGGGAAATGATGATGCTACAATCAAAGATTTGGAAGCAAAAATCAGGGACTTTGCTCTTTCCGCAGAAGACGGAATTGAATCAAATCTGACAAACATTTACATGGAGGCGGAGGAGGCGGCAGCTAAAGATAAAGATATGATGCTCTGTCAGAAGCTACGGCAAGTAGCCGACGACACTCACCAGTTTGTCAACAGAGTTAAACGAGAATACTATGATTCTACCGTCCAAGATTCGCCAAAGGTATCTATCTATCTATCTATCTCGGCATGCAGTTTTTGCTTACTTTAGTCACTACACTGATGGATGAAATATCTGAGGGTGTTTGCTTACTTTACTCTTAACAACTTTTTCAATTAGCATTTTGAAAAAAGAAATTATACCAAACAGCTATCAACTAACAGCTAATTTACCAAACACTTTTTTACAACAGCTAATGTTATAAACTAGTTATACCATCTAATTAACACAATCAGCTAACAGCCATTTACATACGATAGCTGTTAGCGGTTAACTGATTACATACGATTGGCCATGTTTGGCAAATGGCTTTTAACGGATAGTTATTACTGTTAACTGATTAAGTTAATTAGAGAGTATAACTAGTTCATAATATTAACTGATTGTAGAATGATATTTGGTAAATTAGTTGTTTGCTGATAGTTGTTTGGTATGATTTTTTTTTTTCAAAAAACTAATTGAAAAAGTTGTTTTGAGCAGTTTTTTGAATTTTAGCATTTTGGAGTTACAAAAAACTAACCAAATACTTAAATTGATTTTTTAACCAAGTCAAACAATTAATAGTGGTCAAATAAGCCAAAATTAGCTTTAACTATTTTACCAAATGATGATTTTCTCAAAAAGCTACTTTAAGAAACTTTTTGAATTTTAGTATTTTAGACATGGTTGAAAAAATTGCTAGGCGCCCTCTAGGCGCCTGGGGACCGCGTAGGGCGCCTAGAGCGATTAATCGGCGCCTAAAGCGCCTAGGCGGGCGCCTAGGTCGCCTAGGTGGCCGACCGCCTAGCGCCGATTAATCGGCGCCTAGGCCCGATTTTTGCAACACTGATTTTAGAGCAATAAATTATTACAAAAAACTAATTAATCAAGCAGTTATAGGTCCTGTTTGGTAAAAAAATTGGCCTATAGGCCAATTTTGGCTTATTTGACCACTATTAATTGTTTGATTTAGTTAAAATATCAATGATCCTGTTTGGTAAAATGGCTGTTAGCTAATAGCTGTTAGCTGTTAGCTGATTGTGTTAATTAGAGAGTATAAATAGTTGATAACATTAGCTGATTGTAAAAAAGTGTTTGGTAAATTAGTTGTTAGCTAATAGCTGTTTGGTATAATTTCTTTTCTCAAAAAACTAATTGAAAAAGTTGCAAAAAGCTAATTAACCAAATATTTTTATTGATATTTTAACTACATCAAACAATTAATAGTGGTCAAATAAGTCAAAATTGGCATATAGGCCAATTTTTTACCAAACAGGGCCAATATAAATGTTTGGTTAATTAGCTTTTTGCAACTCTAAAAGGCTAAAATTCAAAAAGCTACTCCAAGTAACTTTTTCATTTAGTTTTTTGAGAAAAGAAATTATACCAAATAGCTATCAACTAACAGCTAATTTACCAAACACTTTTCTACTTTCAGCTAATATTATCAACTATTTATACCCTCTAATTAACACAATCAGCTAACAACTATAGCTAACAACCATTTTACCAAACAAGGCCATAATCTACCATCCGATCTTATTCTCTGCTCTGTTCTGCACTGCAGGTACATACCGTTTCGTCAGAGCTTGAGAGCATTTCGTTGAGCGAATCTTCACAGCAGTTCTCAAAGCCAAAGGTTGAGGGCAGAATGGTTGAGCATAGCAGTTTTAATTTGCTTACAACGAATTACACTGCATGGATGAACTACATTATATTCATGGTAATAATGTTACCGAAGAATATATTTAATTGGTGTGTAAGTAAATTGAGCATTTGGTTGGGCGAATCTCCAAAGCCAAAGGTCGAGGGCAGAATGGTTGGGCATAGCAGTGAACTGAATACAATAAAAGATCAGCTCACTCGTCCGCCATCTGGAAAACGAAAAGTCATTTCAATTCTTGGAATGAGTGGTATCGGTAAGACAACTTTAGCAAGGAGACTTTATGAAGATCCATCAGTCATATCCCACTTTGGAATTTGCGCATGGACTACTGTGTACCAAGAAGTTAATCTCAGACGCGTACTCTGCGACCTTCTTCAGTCCTTTAGCTTCTCCTCCACCCAAGTGAATACTAACGGAAGCACAAGCGAACTGGCCCAACAATTGCAGAAGTGTTTGAAGTGTACGAGGTATCTGGTCGTGGTGGATGACGTATGGGAAACCAGTGTTTGGGATTATCTCACCAGATGTTTTCCTGAAAGTGGTGGCAGTAGAGTATTGCTGACCACTCAGCTAAAAGAGATTGCTGACTACACTGCTACTTCAGGTACCTATCTTCATAACTTGCATTTTCTAGATTCTAACGAGAGTTGGGATCTATTCCGCAATAACCTTTTTTGCAAACAACCCTTGCCTTCCAAATTTGAGACAATTGGAAGGAACATTGTGGACAAGTGTAGAGGATTACCCCTCGCGATTGTTGTAGTTGCTGGACTTGTATCCAAACTCAACAACACACTTGATGATTGGGAGAATGTTGAGAAAGAAATAAGTTGTCTTGCTAGTACAGATCTTGGTGAACAGTGTTCAAGAATACTGAATTTAAGCTACAACCACTTACCTCAGCATTTGAAAGCTTGCTTTTTGTATTTAGGAGTTTTCTATGAAAATAGTGAAATTCCTGTTAAAAAGCTTGTTAGGCTTTGGGTGGCAGAGGGATTTGTGAAGTTAGTGAATGACAAGAGATTGGAGGAAGTGGGTGTTGAGTATTTACAAGACCTTATTAGTAGAAGTTTAGTCCTAATTCACAGGTGTAAACCTAACGGCCAAATCAAGACATGTAGGATGCATAATCTCCTGCATGGGCTGTGCATAAGAGAAGCCAGAAAGCTAAACCTTTTGTACGTTGAAGACGATGGTTATGATCATGTTGGGGCTTGTCGTTGGCTAAGCTTTAGATCACCAAAGCCCAAGAATTATGATATAATTCGCAACAATTACAAAAAAGCTCGTTCTCTTTTGTGCTTGCATAATGATGATGAGATGGCAATGGTGAATGATCCAAAGCCTGTAAGGTTCAGCTTGTTAAGAGTTCTTGATTTAACTTCTCCTATGTACACCAAGGGAGTTTATGTGACTTTCCCAGATCTTTCTGATCTAGTTCTTCTAAAATACCTTGCTTGGTCTCTGGGCTCGGAGGGTCTCGAGATTATACTGTCTAAGAATCAGAAACTGCAGACGCTGCTTGTTTTGCAAAGTTCAGCTGGGTGGGAAGAGGACTCTTCCCTTTTGCCATCTACAATTTGGGGGTCACCACAGTTAAGGCATCTCGAATTCAAAAACTGTTTTAGGGTGGAGCCTCCAAGCATGGTGAAAGAGAAGTTGCAAACTTTGTATTGGTTGAGCATATCCGATTGCACGGAGGAAGTGTTCTCTATGATTCCAAACATAAACACATTGGGGATCCTTTGTAAGCGTGAATCAACCATATCTCATAGTAGTGGTACTTATAGTTTGAAGTTTCTTCGTTGTTTGGATCAGCTCGAGGATTTAACCATTGAATCTGACTATCCCATTTCTGAGCATTCGCCCCCTCAATGTATACGTGCATTTCCCCACAACCTTAGGAAGCTAAAACTAAGTGGAACTTATCTGCCACTTAGGGATATAGAAGCAATTGCCTTGTTGCCTAGCCTCGAGGTGTTAAAACTTAAAACCGATTCTCTTCTTGGACCTGAGTGGAAACCAACTGATGGGGGATTCCCGAGTTTAAAGTTTTTGCTGCTCCAACATAGGAAACTCCGACATTGGGAAGACTTTGATGATGAGTTTCCCATGCTTGAGCGTCTAGTCCTAAAGGAATGTGTAAAATTGGAACAGATCCCAATTACTTTCTCAAACATCAATTCTCTCCAATCAATTGAATTAGAAAGGTGCCGCCCTGCCCTTTTGGATTCTGCCAAGAAAATCAAAGAAGAACAGCTCAACTATGGAAATGATGGTCTTCTTGTTATTGACCGCACTCCTCAGGTCTATCTCATACATCTGCACTTTCATATATTTTATTATCGGAATAAGGTTCAAATTGGCCACTGAACGTAACCTGAAAATGCAATTAGGCCACTGAACGAAAACAAAGTGCAATTAGACCACTGAACACTCCAAAAATGTGCAATTTCACCTGATAGCAGGTTACCTTCAATTTTAGCAGGTTATCTGCTTACGTGGCAGCTGAGTTGGCATTTTTAATAAATTTTAAATCATTTTTAATAAATTTTAATAATAAATTTTTATTTAAAAAAATTTTAAAAAAATAAAAAAGACTTTATTTTATTTTTTATTTAATTTTTTTTCAATTTTTTATAAAATTTATTATTAAAATTAATTATTAAAAATTATTTAAAAATTATTAAAAATGCCAACTCAGCTGCCACGTAAGCAGGTAACCTGTTAAAATTGATGGTAACCTGCTATCCGGTAAAATTGCATACGTTTGGAGAGTTCAGTGGCCTAATTGCACGTTTTTGGAGTGTTCAGTGGCCTAATTGCACGTTTTTGGAGTGTTCAGTGGCCTAATTGCACTTTTTGTTCGTTCAGTGGCCTAATTGCATTTTCAAGTTATGTTCAGTGGCCAATTTGAACCTTAGATGTTCACACCAGTAATAATTAATTACATTAAACCGGACTTACTTTTTTTTTTTTTTTTTTTTTTTTCTCTGGAGAATGCAGTATACTGCTGAGAAATCTGTGATTTTTAAAAAGAGACCAAAATAGAAGTGAGGTAGGTTTTATCACAGTGACGATTACGAAAAGCTCGCTCGTATCAGGACAACTGCAGTTAAATAAATGGTACAGTTCTTATGTCTTAGGTTTTATGATGATGACGATTAAAGAGAAAGCACTTATGTCTTCTTGTACTATTGGAAAATATTTTACGTTTATGTTAAATAATTGCTGCAAATTAATAAAACTAAGTTTGATGTCTCTCTTTATTTTTCCATGCAGAGCTGAAGAAGGGAATTTTGTTTTAGATGGGAGCTCTTCACTTGTATGATCTAGCAAAGGGATACATGCTTGTTTAATTTGCGATTCCAAGATAGTAATATATTCTTGTATACTTACTGAATGGTTGATTGTAATTATATTTTGTATTACATAGCTTATTGTTTGGCTTCACCCCTATTTATGAATTCTGAATTACTTATACTGTGATGATATTGCTTTGATTCTTCCTATATTATTCACTCTCATCTAGGCCATATTCTTGAACAATTTGTGCATAAACTTGCCCCTGCAGCTACCCATGATGTAATTCTATTTGCACAAGTGCACCACCCTTTGATTGTGTTAGGCTGTTAGCTTTATAGATGGTGTAAATAGAAAATTGCTATTTGCACCAACATTATGTTTTTATTATTATTTTTTTGAATGCTACTGACTCTATTACATTGTAGTATCTGTTCAAACATATTTTCTAATAAATCACAAAAATTTTCAAACATACTTTCTCAATCTAATAATGCACAAAGATTCGATCTAATGACCTCCCACATGGGAGAAATTTTCAAACATACTTTCTCAATCTAATAATGCACAAAGATTCGATCTAATGACCTCCTACACGGGAGAGGTCACTACACGCCATCTGAGCATAAGGTGCTTGGCCATTATGTTTTTATTTAAAATATTTATTATTTATTTTTATTTCAAATTGTGATAGTATAACAATTTTGTGTATAATATTGTTTAAGTATTTTGTGTAGTATCTAATGTTTAATAAATTTCAATGATAAAATTAATTTTATTTTTTGTTATTCTAATACTCTTTATAACTCAAATTTTTTGTATGCATTATTTTACTTTATTAGAAAAATATAATAATTAATTTTGAATCGATAAAGACTATAAAAAACATATTAACATCAGAATAACATATTAAAAGAAAATTTCATTTCATTTCAATCCAATATAACATTCTCATGAGTACTTAGAGCGTACATGCTCATTGTAACTATTGATCCGATTCACATATGGAGTAATCCATGCATCTGCACAATCATATTTAAAATAAGCCCGTTGTGGAGCAATATAATAGTAGGCATTGGGTACCCTCTTATCAATGTTACCTTAACATAATGATTATTATTAACTTAATCAATTTAGGGCAATTTCTACAGCTCGTACCAAGGTGAAGAGCTTTGTGGCTCCTTTCTCCACAGTTGAAACAACGCAAGGTGTTCCCTTGACAATCTCTGCCTCGGTGATCCTTACTATACTTCTTGCAAAGGGCTTGCCCCCATTCGGTCCCGTTGTTTCCCTTAGGTGGTCCTTGGGCTTGTTGAGGAGCTGCCCTAGCGTTGGAATCGGTCCGTGGCTTATTTACGTTAGGGCAACCCACTTCTTCGAAGATATTATCAAACGTCCGGACCCATTCTTCGAGTATCGCAGGATCCTCTTCCCCGGCGAAGATAGGGGGGCAAAGATTCGATACTTGTCGGGCCACGTCGCGGTTCTCATTCGGTTGGGGACGGTTATTGTTGCTAAGGACAGCGTTGCTTAGCGTTTCGGCGATTTGGGTTAAATGATGCAGGTTCTGGGTCAACTGTTCGCTAGAAGACATTTCCGGAGTTCTATCGCGATTCCTTGGTGGTTCCATCTTGAGTGTCTACAAGGTTAACATCGGTCATAGATGTAAGTCATGAACCTTGCACCCTTACCTGGTGCTTTAACTACATGAACTAAGGCTAAACAAGGAACAAGCACAGGAAAACTTGACAGAAAGCGATAAATAAACGCACAATCTCACCGTGCGTCCTAAGTACTTAAACATCTAGATTTCAAGCTTAACATCTATAGTCTTATCTTAAAGACATTATCCTAAGGTCGAACTTAAGCTCTGATACTAACTGTAACACCCCTAATTTTCAGACTATTTTAAAACAATTTAAAGCTTACGAGATAAGAAGGAAACTATCATTAATACCCAAACAGAGGGACTAAACATAAGAGTTGGGGTGCTATGCCACATATAAGCTTGAGAACCTAGATGCACAGGCTAAGACTGACTAAACAAAACATAATTAATAAACAACATCCGAATACAAACGTGGCTCACAGGCCGTCTGACTAAGCTAGAACTATCTAAACTAGGAACCGCAGTCTCCTTCTAGCGCGCTCTCGACCAACTACTCTGTACCTGAAAAACATGCGGTGTAGCAACCGTTAGCGAGTAATGCTAAGTAACCCACTCCACGCGTTGAGTACAATATATATATAGCTATAAGAAAATCATTTTGAGACTTGGGAATACATAGATATAAACCTAAGAAACTCTAGCTTTAAAACCAGAATCATGACTCAAGACAAGACAACAATAACAAATAACGATAAGATCACATAACAAGACACGCCCATGTTCCAACCTTATACCAATTTCCAACCTTTACACCTCTCCAACCTTATATAAGTTCCAACCTGTACCTCCAGACCACCCTGTACTGCACCAGCCTTATCCCTCCGGAGCAGCGCATGCTCCCCTCCAACATGACCTCCAACATACCACCGATCTCTCAGCACTCACAGTGCCATTACATAACATGATATGTGCCTATAGCACAATAATCAAATCACACGCAGTGCACATCACATAAGCACGCGCAGTGCATCATACCTCCAACATATCTTTTCCACCAAGCACACATCTTTTCATCACCATGGGTAACCAACACAACAATCAAGATTCAACAACAACTTCATCAAGGGATAATAACCGGGGAAAGGAAGGGCATAAAAATAGACTCACAACAATATGGGACACCAACCTAAACATGCGTCCTACGGGGAATAGCATAAACCATACTTTGGACCCACACAATACAAGTTTAGACCAAATACATAGACACGACTCACAAATCACATTATGGCATTTAAGACATCATGCTAGACTCACCAACATCAAACGAGACACATCGGGGCACGGGGAAACGACCAACGGGGGAAAACAACACACCGCACCACCCGTACCAATGGGAGGACAACCTCCTGCCGGCGGGCTGCCCTGTTCCAGCGGGCCTTCCGGCGGGTGGTCGTCCACCCGCTGGAACAGTGGCCTTGTTCTGGCGGGTGGTCAAGTGGGGGTTCGTTGTAACACCCCGAAATTTTGAAACTTTTGAAGCTTATATAATAAAGGTGAAATCTCATTAATTCCCAAAACATAATACAA